TATATATATATATATATATATATATATATATATATATATATATATATTACTGATGAAGCCTTAACCGGCGAAACGTCTGAGGAATTAAATAAATAATCTCACAATTTGCCTGAAGAAGTCCCTTTTCTGGTTTAAAATAAACCAACCGATATATATATATATATATATATATATATATATATATATATATATATATATATATATATATATTATACTCGAGAAGTTCATGTTTATAGCTATTAAATATGTACCGTTGTAATATAGCTTTAAAAATACGCAACAAATAATTAACGTTAATCGTATTCTTAGCTATCATTATATTCTTGCTGCGAAGAGAGAAAGGAAATGCAAATTTAAACCGGATATGGGTTTGTATTTTCAAGCAATTTGCTTTGTGTTGCCATTATCGACTGTTTATATTCCGATAAAAGTTCACAAAACTTTAACCCCAATATCAAATTTGCTTCGATGATTGGCCTTAAAATTTAGCAGGGTTTCCCAGCTATGGACCACCAAAGACAGAGGACAATTGGACCTTATATTCTGAATCAAACTCTAGGGAAAGGCCAGACAGGTACTGTATTATACTTGTTCAAATCATTTTGCTCTATTTCAGGTGTAGTTCGGCTTGGGATACATTGCACCACGAAGGAAAAAGTCGCTGTTAAAATTATAGACCGGACTAATTAAGTCCTCAAATATTGTCAAAGGTGAGATTAAAATGCACAATAATTACCATTGAATAGTGTAGCGTGTTGGCTTCGTAAAAAATGTGTTAATTTTTCAATTTTCTGATGGCTTGTAAATACAGTAATGTCTAAATTTATAATACAGCACAATTAACAGCTGTCTGTTTATAAGTTTGCACTTGTATTTTGAAACCACTTATTTAAAAGAATTTTCAATCTTATATTCTTGTCTTTTTCAAAGACTTTTCCCTCTGGCCCTCAGAGTAATTTTCGATAGTATCTAGTTCTCGCACGTAAATGCAAAATAATTCGTTAAAATGGAAGCGATATTAATTAATATGCAGCTGTTGTTTCAACGCTTCAGCTATATTCTACTCTATCCCTTTTGATAGTTCAATTATATTTGCAAGGAATGGATTAATTCTTTCCTGTCGAAGCCGTTTTTGTTTTGGTTAATGAAGTACATAATCACTTGTTTAAAATAAATATATTCTTGTCGTTTTTGAGCGAAAGCAAAATGCTACAGTGAGCATTGTTTGCACCTGTAAATATAAATATTGTCAATATTCACAAAAGAAAGCTGGCTTAAATTTAATACCTTATATTTTAATATTAATCCTCTTAAGTTCATACAGTAAGGGGAAAGAACTGCTATGCCGTCAGCTTTGAATTTGTATAACTCAAACGTATTTAATTGGACAAACCATTTAAACTTTGAATTAAATTGTTCCATAAATTTTTGATTGAGTCACTGCATAATTTATTCATGTTTCCATAATATTTAGATGTCTATGCCTGACAGCATGACAAGTCGTCTCGCATTAGACAGAGTAAAATTGTAAAGTAGTATTGAGATAGTTAGGCGCTCCATTGATGCAATTTAAATTCGTCTCTCATTGGTTATATATATATATATATATATATATATATATATATATATATATATATATATATATATATATATATATATATATATATATATATATATATATAATGATTCTTCGCCTCAGCGCGACGATGAACAGCAAATAACGACAATTCTATCGAGGGTTTCTTGTTAGCTTTATACATCCAGTGAATATTTACTTCCTGCTCCGCGGTTCATGATCATGGCTATTAGCTTCTGTACTTAAGATGTTTCTGTTTTCAGGTTGAAAGAGAGATCGCCATCATGAAGTTGATTGAACATCCACATGTGCTACGACTTTATGACGTTTATGAAAACAATACACATTTGTAAGTACTTTCTCAAACTTAATAATTATTCATGAGCAAACACACAAAAGAAGCAGCATCGTTTTGTTGCCTTGATACCACGAGAATTAATAAACGCCCAAAAATGAACTTAACATTTGCTTTCAATTTTTCTCTGTACAAGACCGTACCAGAAGTAATACCGCGAGTGCCCCAAAAAAACACTGGACATCGTTTGATTTCATGTAACGTATAGCTATAAAAGCTATCGCAATAAAATAAAGCTCATTGTATTTAGAAAGCACTAAGATTTTGATATATAGCACTTGAATTTACATGTAATACTGACTGCGTTATTGATGTTTGAACGTTGAACTACTGTTTTTGAAATTGCCAAAAATTAGCATCAAACAACCTTATAATTATACTACCGATGTAATGTTAAATAATAAATATTTTTATTTTGGTATATGGAATGCATGAACAATAAGTTTGTTTACAATTTATTCGTTAGGAATAAACAGTAAATTTTCTAGAAAATGATCTCAAATTAAAGTTAATATTATACCATGACAATATTTGTTTTGAAGAGGCCATGCTTGACATTAGTTTAATCAGCCAATTTTTACCGGGTTTTCACCAATTCCTAAAACGCATTCCAAATTCAAACAGTTGTATATCGTTCAATATTGCATGTAAATTCAAGTGTTTTATATCACAATCTAAGTAGTCCTTTCTGAATCCAACGATCTTTATGTGTTTGCGACAGCCTTTATAGCTTTTACGTTAACGTTACATGAAATCAAACAGTTGCCAGTTGTTTTTTTTGGACACCCGATATATAATAATTAAATTTATGACCGGAGTATAAAACACCGAAAAGTGTGTCGAAACGCCAGGCGCTAGACGTGTTTTTTTCCACATAGGCCATAGCTACTTTGAGGTATTTTATAGAGGGTTGCCAACAGGTTTTGCAGGACACGGGATAACATTTATTTTGTTAGCGAGAAACGGCATACAAGGGAAAATAATGAATGGGATTCGGGATTTAGGAAGATTTACGAACGTGATACCGGGAAATGAAGAGATTAGTAAACGGGATTTGGGAGTTTTATAGTCACCCCTCTATATTACTAGAAAGACATGCGGTTCGTCTTAATTCATCTAGACAGACAATCCGTTTGTTGATCCGTTTTTATACACAGACGAATTTTTGGTCATATCGGACGAACTAATAACTCGTGTTTGACCTACAGTATCTCGAACCCTGAGCCTGCAATCCCCTATGAAGGCTTAATCCAGACGTTTATTCGCCCCTAGTATAAACAGGGCCAGCAGATACTGTAGTCAGCTATCGGGATTACGGGACGGGTAAAAAATACGGAGCGGGATACGGCATTTAATTTAAGGAGCCTATATTGGGGACCCGGTGCCCGGGATGGTCAATTGGATGAACCAGACTCCTTTTGAAACAACTGGAACGTTCATTTTTTCCGATACTCCCTACATTACTTCTCGAATGGACTTGTATGTAAAGGAAAATTCTAGTTTCAAATTTAAGTACAAATACAAATACAAAATGATACAGATATTACACAGCACACTCCCTATCAGGGTTTTTTAGTAACTGGTTACATTGTGAATAGATAGATGGACAGAACCAGAACTGACGTGAAGCAGACCGATATAGACTGTGAGCTTACAAATGGCGCTTTAAGCAACCGCTATTGGTCCATACCTCATTAATGATCTGCCCCGACATATATGTTTAACCCACCCTGTCAACTTTCCCTGTGGGAGGAAACCGGAATATCCGGAGGGGATCCACGTCTTTCGGCAGAGTGTCGGCTTTTTACTCTTTTCACGCGGGGACTGGATTCGGGTCACATTGAGGAGGTTCCTTACTGAGAATCGAACACGGGACCTAAGAGGTTAAGGCAAGTCTAACCACTTCGCCACCGAAGCCCCTATAGTATAAGTGTATAGTTTATTGTATACTTCATAACTTAGAAAATGATTTGGAAGTGGCTGAATGGCCAATTTCAGTGCTATAATAATCGCGGGTTTAGGCTTTACGTGTGACAGGATTCGTATGTAAAGGTCTTTGAAATCGCTCAAAGTCTTTAAATTGGGATATGGGTTTTTAAGGTCTTTATAAGAGTCTTTGAATTGTTTGAATTAAAAAAGCAAAGAAAGTCTTTGAACGTCTCTACATTCATTAGTAAGTGTTTGATATATAGATATGGAGTTTATCGATAAACGTTTTACACGGCAACATAATTCAGGCTTTTAGCTATTCATTGATACTTTTTTGTATTATTATAAAGGAAAATGACCAAATACAAATACAATGAAAATTTTGCTGGTCGAAATCGCATTTTTCCACCGTTAGGAAATGGGTACAAAACTATTGAAACTATATCTCATTTGGATGTAAAATTTATTTATATAGTGCACTTCGTTTTCTGTTCTTGCCTTACCGAAAGAAATTATTTTTTTTCCGAATTCCTCATAGAATTTTGAGGTAATTTAAAGTGCCTATATCACTTGTGGGACCTTCATGGATTCGAAAAGAGCGTAAAAAATTGGTTAATAAGTTCAAAAGATTTTTTTGATTTAGAGCAATAATTTCGATACAGGCGTCTAAACTACCTACAGTTCCTGAGTCCCAGGCTCTTATGCACAATGGACAGTTTGGAAAAAGGTCAAATTCAATAGCCGTGTTTAGACCCCAGGAGGCTGGGACCCCAGGAACAATCCGTTGTTTAAAGGCCTATATCCTCAAAACTGTTGCACTAAATCAAAAAAATCTTTTGAACTTATTAACTATTAACTTTTTACGCTCTTTTCAAATCCCTAAAGGTCCCACAACTGATATAGGCACTTTAATAAAGCATGCATTATTCTATATTCTAATTAGGTTTCTTATACTGGAATATGTTGGTGGTGGAGAATTATTTGATTATCTTGTCAAAAGAGGAAGATTAACCATTAAGGAGGTTAGTCATTTTATTTACGTCATTAAGAATTTCCTTTATATCATCAAAAATTTCCTTTACAAAATTAAAAATTACAAAATTTTGTTACACCTTGCAGGACATTTTTATCATCTTATATATAATTATGGAATGCCTTGTAATTGATTTGTTGTTCAATTATTTAGTTCAAGTATTTGGCAATTTGAGATTGAAACTGGCCCCATATGTTCTCTCAAATCTACATTATGCAATTTTTATTTTTCATCGGCATCTCTCTGAACTTTCATCCAGTATAAGCGAGATCTTACCTTTTTCAAGTGAGACCTCAGAAACACCTCATCCTGGTTGTCCATATGGATGCAAAATAATCTCAACTATAAAAATAACTACACGGCAATAGCTGGCTTACTGCTAACCGAGATAGCCCGGCTTCCATATAAGCAGCCCCTTGAATGCATTCTCAATTTTTTTCCTGTGCGCCATATCAGTTTATTTAAATGTTAAGATGTGTCATTGTTTTTTTAGGCACGGAGGTTTTTTAGTCAAATAATTTCAGCCATCGATTTTTGTCACAAGCACTGTGTTTGGTAAGTTGTTTCTTGGTGGTACTAAATTTATGACGATCAGGGTTTAATGATTCTCACAAACCTGTATTCTAGTTTTTTCTTACGACCCATCAAACATTGCTCTAAAATCTTACGGCACAACAATAGGCTCAATAGAATGCATGTGCTACTTGCTTAAAGTGCCCATATCACTTGTGAGATCTTTACGGATTCGAAAATAACAGAAAAAGTTGGTTAATAAGTTCCAGAACCTTTTCTGATTTAGTTCAAAAATCAAAAGTTTCCAAGTTAAGACCCTCACTGCATTTGGCAATTGTGGCCTTTTCGCAAAAAATTCCGTCGTGCTTAAATTTGCTTGGCGGCCTGGGACTCAGGAACGCAAGCGTAAACAAACACTATATTTGACAAATAGATAAGATTTTGCTGTTGTCTGTTCAGTTATAGATACCCAGTATGACGTCTACACAGTATGACGTCCTAATGTGGGATGAACAAACAAGTGGCTGACGAGTCGCCGAGACGAGTGGGCGACTTTTGTATCCTTCCCACATTATGATGTCATGCTGTGTATCTATAACTGAACATACAACGGCAAATCTTATCTATTTGTTTTATATAACAAAAAGAGAAACCCCGAATTAAACTGGTAAATAGCTTAGTTTTCATCCGCCCAAACATTTGAAAATTTGAAAAATTGGAAATTTTACAAACATCACGCGTACGTGATTTATACAAATACGCGAATGCTATTGGATAAGGTTTTGTGTGACGTAATTCCGTGCGTCTGTGACGTCTGTCCTCTAAATAGATCATGGCTCTCGACCAACGAAAGCTCTTGAATTCTTAACGTTATTACTGTATATAAAGAATTATATTACATTTTGCCGGTTTAACTAAAAAATTTAACTCAAAATTGACATCTACCTAACTACCTAATATTCTGTGAGCCATTCCATACATTCAGTTACTTCAAGTTTGGCAAATATTAAATTTTCTGGGGGCAGAATCACTGCGACTGGGAGGGGGCAAATCTGATTCATGGAGTCAGTTATATAGTTAAAAAAGGTCCTGCTTTTCAATTTTGGATACATGAACATTCAACGAACAATAGATCTTTCCCCTTATTACGTTTTCGTAGCGCTTTGCATTGTGGTTATAGTGGTGAGTCATATTGTCAGTCATATTGTCAGTCGTATTGTCAGTCGTATTGTCAGTCGTATTGTCAGTCATATTGTCAGTCATATTGTCAGTCATATGTTCAGTCGTATTGTCAGTCATATTGTCAGTCGTATTGTCAGTCATATTGTCAGTCGTATTGTCAGTCGTATTGTCAGTCGTATTGTCAGTCATATTGTTAGTCATATTGTCAGTCATATTGTCAGTCATATTGTCAGTCATATTGTCAGTCATATTGTCAGTCATATTGTTAGGGGCCATTCACAAAGGATGTCCGGCCAAATGATGGATTTTCAGACCCCCCTCTCCCCCCCCTTGTCCGGCATTGTCCGAATTAGTGACCCCTCCCCCCGGACATCCGCCATGCCTCGCAAAAACTCACGCAACCTTGTATATATCAAGAGTAAAAAACTTTTTTTACTTTTAGAACTTTTTTATAACTGTAAATGTGAACACAAAAACATATAAATTACTAATTAAAACAAAATCTAGTGTTAACCGCATAGTCAAAATGCCAATTTCACAATGGGAAGGACTGCTCAAAATAGAGGGGAAAAGAAATTTGTTTTTGAATTTTT